TAAATCTGTGCTTTTTGGCTTCCATTTTACGGAAGGATCTCTAGCAACATCTAGTGGTTACATTTCCCAACTCACCATTCCTACCGCTGCATAGACCTGTAGTTTTAAAGGTCAGTGTCAATAGAAGACGATGACGTCAATAGAAGACGATGACGTCAAAACCAGCACAGGGTTGAAGGACAACATCCAACGAGAACAAAGATTTGAACTATAATCCTTTAAAAATGTACAGAAATACCTTGACGGATCCTGGTGACTGACAGCGTGGGTAAAGTTATCGCTGTACTGTCTTCAACTTTAACTCAATTTCCCAGGATCCAGCGCTTGCGACGAAAACAGTGACGTAATTTTTAGTCGACAGCCAAACGTCTAAACTGAACCAACATGCTAAGACCGGAGTCACGACCGCAGGTGTTTTATTTTTATGGTTAATAGTTATCAGGTTCAGTTACTGTGACGTCATTTAAAACTTTGTTTACCGTGTTACCTTGTTTGTGAAGCGGGCGCTGTTGCTGCTGAAGAACGTAGGTCTTAGTTCAACATGACCGTCCCGGCTCTGCACAACACTGGAGTTCTTTACCGGAGGATTCTCTCTCACTTCCCTCAGGACATCACTTTAGCTTTTGCCTACGGATCTGGTGTTTTCAAACATCACGGGAGCAGCCAAGGACAAATGGAGGTGAGGGACAGCCGGCTGCCTGTCGTTCTCCTGGCGGAAAGCAGCATTTCTGACAAGGAGCAAGTGTGCATGACTTTTAACAGCTGTGATGAACAGTCATTTACCAAGTCAAGGTCATTTAACGACCATTAAAAGTTGCTAAGTTGTCCGAAGCTACGTTCCTCAAAGTTAAGTAAGAAACACGAACTGATTCGTCCTTTGTGATGTTGTAAAACGTTCAGCGTCGAGTCCATAAACACAGGTTGACAGATATCAACATCACTATGGTAGCTATTAAATGACGTGTAATGTTCTGAACATCGGTACAGAAAAACATGCTGGACTTTGTGTTTGCGGTGGATGATCCTGTGACCTGGCACACCATGAATCTGCTCCAGAACCGGAAACACTACTCCATCCTCAAGCTGCTGGGTCCTAAGACGATCAGCTCCATACAGAGTGACCACGGGGCGGCAGTATATTATAACACATTGGTGCCTGTGGATGGCAGGGTAAATGAATGAGGTT